TTGGCAGATTCAAAATTGTTCGTTTGATAGAGCAACTTTCTTAAAAGAAAACCTTGACAACACCGAACCGAACCCGCCCTTTCCTATTCTTTCATGCCAAAATAACCCAACCCGAAAGGCCACATTTTTCCCGGGAAAGAAAATTAAACATAAAAATCTAAAAAACATTTGCATTTCACATTCAGCGTTCTTTTCTAGTTTTTTCTTTTCTTGGGCAGCAACATCCACAAATGCTGACAGGCCTATTTGAATTAATTAAGCCAAGCAAGAAATTAATCTTCTTAACAAATTTTTGTTATCAAAGTAAAACCTTGTCCCATTCTATAAGAAATAATTAAAAATCACGTATTTAACTAATTAAGATGTTCGATGTCTCTAACACCTTACTCTATTAAAGAACCTTCCTCAGCTCCCCAGCTATTTCTATTAGAAATTAATTAAAATTTCGCTTTCGTCGCCTCAAAAGTCAAGAAAATGTTACAGGATTCTAATAATGCATATAACCCATGAAAGTTGTTGAACTAATTTCAGCTACGGTGATCACGGGTTAACCTGGACCACTCCCCGTGATTCAATTCAGCTAACAAAAGTAAATGAAAATCCAAAAGGGAACCCAATATTTATTTAGGCAAAAAAAAAGTATGAGAAACTTACTAGGATTCTGGCGGCAAGAGAGGGAGAAGGTCCACGATTAGAGAGGGAATGGAGATCAATTTCAGCGGCAGTGTGTTCGACAGTGTAAAAACTATATTGTATAATAAATATAAGGAATATGAGTATTCAATATTAAATTGTTTAAATTTAAGAATTATTTTTAAACAGATGATATTTATATTTATTTTAAATTAATAAAATTAAAGTGTAAAAAATAGTTTAATGTGTAAAGAGAAGGAAAAGAATTTGTGTATATTTTTTTTAAAAATAGGTGTATTAAAATTTTAGATATCATTTTAAAATTTCCAAACTCGACTCGACTCGAAAAATTTTAGCATAAGCTTGACTCGACTCGAAAACTAGCGAGCCTAAAATTTCCAAACTCGACTCGAAAGATAATATTGAAACTCGACTCAAATTCGAAAAAACTTACTCAAAAAATATTAAGAGTTCTACTGAAACTCGAGACTCAAACTCAATTGAAGCTCGATTTTGAGCTTGATTGTAGCTCGATTGTAAGCTCGATTCAAGCTCAATTGTGAACTCAATTCAAACTCGACTTAAGCTCGAGGATGGGTTAATATTCTTTTGCTGAAACCATCCATTTTATACATTCGACTTACCCTTTATTTCCCGATAACTACCGATGTGGGATATCAACTCACATAAGACAGTGTATTTCAAACATATATATTTCAGCATTCTGTACGGCAACAACAACAATAGCAAATCTCTGGAGCTCTCCACCTGATAAATCCCCAACATTACGGTCTATTAACTGATTCAGTTCAATATCGGCACAGAGCTCTCCACCATTGTTTCTAGTTCAACTTTTAGCTCTTTCACTGGATTTTTTTTATGGGTTGAGAGCCTAAATTGGTTACCCTCTTTTATACTACAGAGCTGACTCCGCCAGGATTTGTTTCTCATGCGACAGGGAAGTTCACTCTGCTAACCAACTATTTACCAAGCACTCTCGCTCACACACAGCTCTGTGACGCCTGCGACCACTCGATTGCTTCCGTCTTCTGCGAAACCGAGCAGTCTGTTTTCTGCTCCAACTGTGATTGGAAAAACCACAAGTTATCCTCCTCCTCTTTGCACAATAGGAGGCCTACAGAAGTCTTCACCGGGTGCCCTTCCGTGAGTGAGCTGCTGAGCTTTATTAGGATAGAGGATTTGGGTGATAAACCTCCCTTTTCGAGTGAAGTCAAACTTGGCTGTGGAGATGGTGCTGAAGATTGTGACGGGTTGTTGGATTTGTCTAATTGGGGATCTCCTGTGATTTCTGGTTTTGATGGGTTGATTCTTTCCAGTGATTTTGATCATGGGTTTAAGCCTACGGATGTCCCTCCTCTACCAAAGGTTTAGTATCAAGTTAACCCTTTCAGTCTTTTGCATTTCTTATGCGTCTATGTTGGCTGGCTCCTTGGAAAATATGAGAAATAAGTTAAAAGATTGCTCTTTTTATGAGTTCTATGCTGGTGAAGAGTTAACAGTTTGTTTATGTATTCACTGAAATTTGGAATTTTGGGGTTCTTATCAAATTTTAGTTTGTTCTTTTGTTTTAGAAAATCATGTCACTGAGGTTTGCGGTGTTTTCTGTGACTTTAACAGAACAAGTGTTTGAGTTAGTACGGTAATTAAAATTTTAATGCTCAAGTTCAATAAGCCAACTGGATTTTATCGAGGCTTTGCTGCCTTTATTTTGGATGTGGTTGTTTAAAAAATACTTGGATGAATTGTGTACCATTAACTGCAAATCTCATAGCTTTTTGTGCATTGTGTTATCAATATATAAGGGTTGTGAATCAACTGTCCTTGAATCAGAATCGTAATTCATCTGGTGGACAACATAAGGAAGAGATATTTCATCAGCAACATGATCTGGCAAAGTCAGAACCCAATCCAAACTTTGAAAAGGCTAACGTTGAAGCCATTATTGGATTCCAATCACTGATACCAGATGCTGATAATTTTCAGCCGGGAAGTGTGCAAATGAGTTGTAGAAATGATGATCCTATTTCATTTCCTGCCTATAAGGTCTGCATTTTCTTTTCCTCTAGTGTTCACCTAGATATAGAACATTCTGAATATAGAGCCGAGGGTTATTATTGTGCTATTTCCATTGATTTACTGTAATATTCTTCCCCTTTTTTTCTGCAGACTCCTTTATCTCAATCAAGTTTGAAGAGAATGGCGTTTGTTCATGGAAAAAGGCGAAGTTTCAAAGGTTTCACTTGATAATTGCAGCATGTCGTGGAACGGATGACGACTATATTAGAGTATAATAAATGTAATTCTTCTATGTAATGTGTTTATTATGTATAGAATTCGTCATAATGTGAATCAAGTTTTAAGAAATAAAATATTATATGAAATGTATTTCAAGTATATTTTTTAAAATATTAATAATTTTGTAACAAAAGGAAATGTTCTTCTCTATAAAGGTTTTGAGTTTAAATAAATGTATTTATAGGATGTGTGGGCATTGTTAATTGATTAAGAAAATTTTAAACATATATTACTTTATAACTATCCTAAATTCTACTTCCATTCTAAAACGCTTTAATTGTTTATAATTATATATATCATAATCCTATCATATATTTACCTAGACTATTTATATTATTCAAACTCGTTATTTTTTATTAAAAAATTGGTGATTGTATGATATTGATGTTAACATGTTAACTAGGGTATGATAAAATATGATCTCATCGTTTTAGTTGTATTTGTACATCAAATCTCCGTTTACATTATGTCGTCGAGTCAGTTCTTGAAATATTATGTTGATGAGTCAGTGCTTGAAAGCAATGACGGTGTCGATAGTCATCATTAAGATATGATAAAATCATGTCTCAATCAGCAAGTTGTGTATATTTATTTTCAATATTGATATGTTTCTGTATAAGTATGCGAATGATTTATTTAGGAGTCACATAACATCATTTTGCATAATTTGTATGTTATCTTCATGTGTATAACTTAACCCCTATCATATAATCGGATTTAGGGTTTAGGGTTTAAGATTCATTACAAATACATTAATTAATTGACTTGGTACCGATTTATGAGGTTAGTATAATATAGTATCTTGATATTAAATGCATTACAAGTAGTATTATAGAATTTTTAATATATTTTAAAATTTTATAATTATCAATAATGTATTTTTAATATATATTTAATAATGTAATTTTAAAAAATTTAAAATTATAATATAACATATTTTCGAGCAGTTCACGAGCTTTTCGAGTCGAATATCGAGTAGCTCATTTCGGCTCGTTAAGAACTCGAGTCGAGCTCGAGTCGAGTCCATTCGATCCGAGTATTTATCGAGCCTTGATCGAGTCGATCTCGAATAACTCACGATCTGTCTCGTCTCATTTACAACCCTAATTCAGCCTATATATATAATTGTTATTATATTTTAAATAAACCAACAAAAAATTTCTAGATCCACCGACGTGGCACTTTCATAAAAGTCCTCGAGAGAAATGGTCAAGTCCCATACAAAAGTTAATCCAATGGTCAATAAAGGAAAAGTCATCCTTTAATCATTAGCTATATTCAACGAAGACTGTCATTATTTTTTTCTTTTCCATGACGAGCACAAATTGAATCATTATTATCATATTTTTTATCACAAATTGGCTAGAAGACTGAATTGGTCCTATGATACAGAATGGTTATATTCTCATCTTTTATTCAATTTACTAAAACAATACAATTTTATATAATTTAAAATAAGACAAAGATACTAAATCAACTTAAAAAAGCAAAAACAACGAATTTTTTTACTTTTAGGGTAGGTAAGTTTATTTTTTAACCACCCAATTGTAATAACTTTTTAATCACCCAAGTAATTTATATTTTTGTCACCGAATGTTACTTTCAGATAGAAAAATGATATGATAAATTATAAAATTGTTATTATAAAAAAAACAAATATTAAAATTAATACGTCATATCATTTTAAGATATTATAAGCCACAATTTCTTTATTCTATTAGTTTTGTCGTTATTTAAAATTAAGAGTGAATTGATATAATATATTAAAATTGAGAGATATATTTTATTATGCAAAATTTATAACCTAACATATCATTTCTCAGTATGAAGTTGAGCATTGCAACGAAATGGATTAATTAGATGGCCAAAAAAGGAACTTAGCCATAGTTGACTGACCCTGCAGTAATTTACCCTTTTCTTTACCAACCCCAATAACCGTTGCCCCGCCAATAATTTAAGATGACGGCACCAAAATAGCCTCACTCTCCGACGTTACGTTTTCCTAATTAAGAATACCAAATCATTTATTTTGCATTTAAAAAAATCAAATGGGCCCTGAAAAAATAATACGAATTTCGAATAAATTTCAGCTAAATTTCTTAAACATCTCGAAGTTAGAACTACACGAAAAGAAAATGAACCTCTTGATCACATCACAGTTGCAAATAGAAAAATGAAAAATCTAATGAAATTTCGAAGTATTAATCTTGGAACCCAGTTTTTTCGAAAATTGCATTTCGGACACTCCTCAGATCTCTTCCTTTCAAGGTCCTTCCTCTGCCTTCGTGAATCGAGAACGATACGATCCTTGTCCTCGCCATTTGCTTCGCCAAAAACTCGTGAGGTGGAATCCTATCACCTCCTTCCACGTCGCCATTGTTTCTCTCCGATCTCCTCCATCTATCCCTGTATTCTTCCTTCAAAATCTTCGACCAGTCCGGTATGTTGACCGGCAGCGACGCTGGCGTTCCTCCAACTCGAAAATCCCCTCCGCCGCCGCGCTTCATCGACGGCTTTTTGGTTAATCTACTCGTGAGAAACTCGGGTGAGTCGGGACGAGAGGAGACCGAGTAGTTGTTATAAATATCTGACTCGTCTAACTCGAAAACCGGCGAGTCACGACTCAACGCTGCTTGCAGTTGTTGATCGGTCAACAGAAATCGGAAGTTGGATCTGGAGTAATAGCTCTTGTTGCTTCCCATCAAAACTTTTTTTGAAAGAAAGAAGAAAGTTTTCTTTTTGTTTTTGGAGAATTCTACTTTCTCGTCTTTGGTTTTGAATTTCTGCTATCCACCCACCTGCATTTTAAAAGGTTAGTTTCCTTAATGGATAGCCTACTTCTCTCAAACTTAAAATTATTTATTTTTTTTTAAAAAACGATACTTCGGTAAAATTACATAAAAGCCCCGATATTTTCAAGGAAACGCTGCGTACGTTGGGGTATTTTTTTTATTGAAATGGTTACAAACATAATATTAAGAATAATCACACAATTCAACTGTTATAGCATATGCACGTTGTACGATTTTAATAGTAAATTTCAAATTCTCAAAGTTTTTTATAAAAAAAACACATGGTTCTAAAATTCTCTAAGATGTTTTTATGAGGAAAAAGAGAGAAATTGTTTGGAATCAAGTATAGGATGTAAGATTAAAATATAATATTATTTGTAACTTGAATCCTAAAATCATTAACAATAGGTGGATTGGTTTGATAAGTATTAGAAAATTGTAGTTGATTGGTAAGGGGGTTGATGGATGGGTTTGAGCTAAAGCCTTATGGTATGGGTAACAAGTACAATGATAAGACTGTTTGAATTTCATCCTCTCCTCCCGTTGCTACCATATGCTTTTTGCACTTGACTACCTAATCATTGTTCACTCAATTCAATGATTGGTGATGATTTGCAATATTGTTATTGCTAATACAGTTGATGACTTTAGGAGTAAGGTTTTATATAATACAGTTTTTAGAACTACAAACGCAAATAATGCAGATATGTTATGGAAAAATATGGTAAATTCTATCAGAGAGGTGGGCAAAACCACCCTTGGGTTGTCGACAGGGAAGGTCAAGGAACATAAAGAATCGTGGTGGTGGAACGACGAAGTCCAAACTAAGGTGAAAAATAAGCAAACTTGCTTCAAGGAGTTTCTACAATGCAATGATGACGAAGAAAGATCGATAGCTAAACAAAGATACAAGGAGGTAAAGCGGGAAGCCAAGATAACAGTGGCTAAAGCAAATGATAAGGCATACGAGGAAATGTATAAGAGATTAGACACCAAGGAAGGACAAAACGACATCTCCAGGCTTGCAAAATCCAGGGAGAATAGGAAAAAGGATCTAGGTAGAATTAGGTTTATTAAGGACAACAATGGTGTTCTTTTAGTGAAAGATGATGATATTAAGAGAGTTTGTGGTAGTTACTTCTTTGGCTTATTTAATGACGGTGTCTCTCCCTGTAGAGATGTATCGTTGATGGGTCAGCCAACCATCATACTACGGCCAATGACTGCCCTACAAGTAGGATTGAGTTTGATGAAGTCAAAATGGCTCTTAGAAAGATGGGGAGGGACAAAGCTGTCGGTCCAGATCAAATTCCTATCACCGTGTGGTTGGCCCTAGGAGAAGAGGGAGTTCAGTGGTTGACCAACATCTTTAATATTATTTTAGAGACTGTCAATATATGCAGAGGAGTGGAGAGAGTCTACAGTGATACCAATCTATAAGAATAAAGGAGATCCCCAATGCTGTGACAACTACAGAGGTATTAAACTACTCAGCCATACCATGAAGCTATGGGAAAGGGTGATAGAGGCTAGGTTGAGACATGTTACTAAGGTTTCGGAAAACCAATTTGGCTTTATGCCAGGCAGGTCTACTACGGAGGCGATTCATCTACTTCAACGGCTTATGGAGAAATATAGGGAAAAAATATAGATCTTCACATGGCGTTCATTGACCTTGAGAATGTGTATGATAGTGTTCCCCGCAATACGATCTGGAAGACCTTGGAAACGAGACGGATCCCAACTACTTATATCCGGGGGATTCTTGATATGTACTGTAGATCTACTATATACGTTAGGACTACAGTTGGCGACACCCAGGCATTCCCGGTGGAAATCGGACTCCATCAGGGGTCGGCTCTTAGCCCTTACATCTTCTCCTTGATTATGGACGACATCTATTATGCGACACCAGACGGTGTTCCATGGTGTATGCTTTTCGCTGATGACATTGTCCTAGTTGTTGAAACAAAAACTGAGCTGAATAATAGACTGGCTACTTGGAAGACAACTTTGGAAGAAAAAGGTCTAAGGATCAATACTGAAAAGACAGAGTATTTATGTTCAAACTTCAGTGGGAAACAAAACGATGAAGATGTAGAAGTTTGCATAGAATGACACGTTCTCCCCTAAAAAGATTGTTTCAAGTACTTAGGGTTTATGATACATAAATATAGGGGTGTTGATGATGACGTGACACACCGTATAAAGGCAAGATGGCTAAAGTGGAGGGCTGCTACTGGAGTTTTGTGTGACAAAAAGGTACCTCTAAAACTTAAGGGAAAATTTTATAGAATGACAATAAGACCAACATTGTTGTATGGATCAGAATGTTGGCAATCAAGAAGGATCACGTAAGGAGGATGAAGGCCGCAGAAATGAGAATGCTTCGATGGGCATGTGGTAGGACTCTGTGGGACATGATACCAAACTCTGCTATTAGGACGTCCTTGGGGGTGGTGCCTGTATCCGAAAAAATGAGGGAGGGAAGACTACGGTGGTTTGGGCATGTCCTTAGGCGACAACCGTCGGATACGGTCAGGAGGGTAGAGTTGATTACAGTCGACGGTGCCAGAAGGAGAGGACGATCAAGGTTGAAGTGGGAAGACTGCTTGAGATTTGATTTGAAGGACTTAGCCCTTACTGAGGACATGACCTCTGATAGGAAAGTATGGAGACTTAAGACCAGAGTAGCCGAGTAGTACGGGTCACAATCATAGGTTATAACATCTATATCCTCTTTTTAATGTATTTGTAGTAATTTCCCCGACTTCTACTTCCTTCACATTTTTGTCATTGGATTTTATGAAGGCTTAGATCTAGGGTAGCGGAGTAGTGTTGCCTTAGTTTAGGTTTTAACACATTTGACTTTAATCCTTCTCGTAGCTTGCTATCGTTGACTTCTCTTCATGTTTCCTCTTTTTAAATTTAGTCGAATCTTACATTTCTGTCTATATTGCATAGATTTTTATACATGGATTTATTTGCAGGGATTACTTCCCATTACAGACGCGCATAAGAAGACTGATTATAAAAATAAAATAAAAAACAATCAACTATGTATTTATTTATACATGCATTGCATTTTATCTTTATTTGTAATTTTTATGACTGCCGGAGGTCTTACATGGAAGCTGCTCTCAACCAGGCGTTGGGGCAACCTACTACCCTACCTCTCCATTATCCCATTGCATATGGGAATAGGGTTTCGTTGTTGTTGTTGTTGTTGTTGTTTATTTCTAATACACTAGGCCAAAATCTGGAGTTTTGACCTAACTAACACCCTATAGATTTATAATTCCCGTTATAACACCGTTTAACCAATATTTCTCTAACTAACACCTTATAGATCTATAATTCCCGTTATAACACCGTTTGACAAATATTTCTCTAACTAACACTCTTTCGGCTGAGCTAGCACAAAGGCGCATCCCCGGGGATGCGTTTTACTGGGGTTTGCTTATGTGGACGTAAGGCAGGGATGCACTTTCCAGCCACGTGTAAAAATCGGGTGTTAATATTGTAAATATTTTTAAAATAGTGCTTAATATGTAATTAAATTCTATTCAGATGATATTTATGTAAGAACGTCAACTTTATTTATTTATTTTTTGTTGTGAACAAACTTTTTACATTAAAATCTTTAAATATTATATTTTAAATTAACTCGATAAATTTTGATTTTTTGATGAAATTACACAATACGTGTAATCTAGTATAGAAAAACTTTGAGGGTAAGTAATTTAAAATATGAATAATTTTATAAAAGTTTTATATTTACAAAATGATGATGATGATAAGAAATATTTTATAATTTAAAAAATTATAAATTTTATATATTTTTGAAAAATTTATTGACTTTTAAAATTAATTGTTTAAAAATATAAAAAAATATTAAAATAAGCTTTTAATTACAATTGAGAGATTAAATGAATTATTATTAATTTTTAACAACATTAATAATGTTTATTCATTTTTAATAAAATTAGAATTCAATAAAAAAATGTAAAGCTAAAAAATATCACCTCTTTATTTAAAATATATTTTCTAATATTAATTTAAAAAATATAAAATAAATATTAAATTCTAATTTTATTAAAAATGAATAAACATTATTAATTGTTGTTAAAAATTAATAATTAATGAATAATAATTCATTTGATCTCTCAATTGTAATTAAAAGTTTATTTTAATATTTTTTATATTTTAAAACAATTAATTTTAAAAATAAATATTTTTTTCAAAAATATATGAAATTTATAATTTTTTAAATTATAAAATATTTTTTATCATCATAATCATCATCATCATTTTATAAAAAATATTAGTTATAAAATTTTTATCAAATTATTTATATTTTAATGTACTTATCCTCAAAATTTTCATATACTATATTATACATATTGTGTAATTTCATATAAAAATCAAATTTTGTCGAGTTATAAAATAATTTATAATATAATATTTAAATATTTTAATGTAGACAGTTTTTTTTTACAACAAAAAAATAAATAAAAAGTTGACGTTTTTACATAAATATTACCCTAATTGAATTTTGTTACATATTAGGCATCATTTTAAAAATATTTATAATATTAATACTTAATTTTTACACGTGCCTTACGTCCACATAAACAAATTTCGATAAAACACGTCCAAACTCAATCGAAAGATGTTAGTTAGAGAAATATTAGTTAATAAACATTATATGAGAATTATAGATCTATAGGGTGTTAGTTATGTCAAATCGCCCCTAGCTTGCTTACACACGCTTATTTTCAGAGCTACCAGAACAATGCCACCCAAATTCGATTCGACCCAAGTTGTCGAAGTCTTCGTCCGCGTCACCGGCGGTGAAGTCGGGGCAGCCAGTTCCCTTGCTCCGAAGATCGGTCCACTCGGTCTCCCTCCCAAGAAGATCGGTGAAGATATCGCCAAAGAAACCGCCAAGGACTGGAAAGGCCTCCGTGTCACCGTCAAGCGAAGGTCACGGTGGTTCCTTCCGCGGCGGCGGTTGTCATCAAGGCGTTGAAGGTACCGGAGAGGGACAGGAAGAAGACCAAAAACATAAAGCACAATGACAATATCAGCCTCGATGACTTCATCGAGATTGCCAAGGTGATCAGACCGAGATCGATGGCCAAGGATTTGAAAGGGACGGTGAAGGAGATTCTGGGAACATGTGTTTCCGTTGGGTGTACCGTTGATGGTAAAAACCCCAAGGATTTGCAGCAGGAAATCGACGATGGCGATGTTGATGTTCCTCTAGAGTGAGAAATATCTTTTTTTTTAATAAAAAAAAAACAGTTTTGCTAAAGTTTAAGGTTTTTGACAATGTGCGGAAATTTTCATCAGACGTTTTGAGTTTAATATTGGGCTTCCTGTTCTTTTTTGCTTATATTATCTATTCGAAGTGCAAGTTTTGATTGGTGGTGCCTCTGTTTGGTAAGCAAGAAATGCAAGGAAAATTCAAGTTTTGCACTTGGTGAGTGAGATTCAGTTATCGAGTCAAATCACACGATCTAAATCCGAAAATTCGTTCCAATAAATAAAAAGTCTAGTTGATGATAAAGGTCAACACAATATGTATATCATTTTAAGCGGAGGATAATGAAGTAAACAAAGCATGTTTTGTCTTGTCATGTCATTTGATGAACGAATCCGGATGAGTTGCCAAATAATGTAAGTACAATCCAATGACTATACAAAGAGTACTTTTAAGTTTCTACTCGAATTAACCATCCAACATTGGTTCTAGTGGAATCTAAGAATACAACTTAAGAATATGTTTTGATCGTTCCAACTTCCACTTCAACTGCTTGCTGCAGCTGCTGCTTCAAGAAGAGAATATTTTTCAAGGATTGCAATGGTTTCTTCCTTGGCACTGCAAATACAATTGAAAATATAAACTATACGGATAAAGTGAGCTCCTTAATGAGAAAGTATGCATGGAAATTATATTTTTATTCATAAGCGAAATGTATGAGTTGAACTTTCATCTGTGTTATAATAAAACTAAAGCTGTTAATTCAAATAGCATCCGTACCTTCCAGGTCTAAGAATCCTGTACCATCCTGGCTTGATGAGGTCCACAACCGTCGATCCTGCACGACCTGCTGGTAGGACACCACCATCATAAACATGTGCACAGTGTTCCCAAAGGTTCTCTAAATCCTTGATGCTCACACTACTTGGCTGCCCACTAAGGTTGGCACTAGTAAGAGCCAGTGCACTTCTGGAACCACGGGCAATGATCCTAATGAAGTCGGAGTCTGGCACTCGCACACCTATACTGTCTAATCCTGGGTTCAAAGACTTCTCAAGGATGCTATATTCACCTGAAAAATATTCACATAAATCAAAATTACACATCTAGCAGACAAGGATTGTGTGGGTGACAGATAAGCTGATAAACATAAATAAGTTGCAAACCTCGCCCTAGTATGACGGTGACCGGTCCCGGAAGGAGAGAGTCGAGTAAGCCATCAGGTAAATGGTCAGTGACAGCAAAGTGTTTGATGTCTGAAACATCCCCAACACAGATTGCAAGAGGACTGGTATGCTTGCGGCCTTTGATCTCGTAAATCCTATTTATGGCTTCAGAAGAACTGCAGATGTATTCCAATTAAAGGAAATTGCAAATCTCTAGATGAATCAAACTGAAACTTCCTGATATCTAAGGCTGAGTAATTATTCCAATCATGCAATCTAGATTCATCATTATAACATAACGACAACCAAAGGCGTTCAATGAGGACTTTAGCATAAACTTCAAAAAAAATTCAAGCTCATATTGGGAAATCATCGACCAAATCTTTAGTTCTCACATGACATCGCCGGGAACAGATTGTCCAAGAACTTTATCAAATAAGTTTAAATATTGATTAATAAAACCTGATTTTCTTTAGTTTCTTCTTTTTTAGCCGGTTTAACTGGTATTCATCCGTGAGAAACCCTTCATAAAACACTCCGTTCCCTTCTCTCTTTCAAGCCATAAGCTCGAGTGGAGCAATCTAGCTATATTCCTAACATATTTTCCCTTCTATTAACCAATAAACTACAAGTGCAGGCTTAAGAAGCTAAAAGTTCAAATTAATGGTTTCGTTTTCTATTATCATCCATTCTTCTCCAATTCAATGGAACCCTAAGAACATCTAAAAACAAATGAATTTCGGAAGTATAGCTGACTAACCAAATTCACATTCTACAAGGTTTTGACATCTTAAAACAAGTAAATTGGGAAAATTAGATAAAGCAGAAAGATACCAAGCATCACAAGCAAATCCATAAAGTGTATCAGTGGGCACTGCAATAACTTTCCCAGATTTGAGAGCTTCAATGGCTTCATCAGCATAAGATTCTGTTGCAGAGTGAACCAACTCCAACTTGTTTTCAACACCCACATCGCATTTTTCAGCATTCAAAGCCATTCTCTTCGGAAACCCACTTCGAAATCTACTCTTTTGATGCGAAAACGGCAGAAACCGCCACTTGGGCACCTCTGAAACATATCGTCAAACTCTTTCAAGACATTTCTTCTTAAGCTTAGAATGAAACAGCAGCCGAAGTGATAAAAAGAAATTCAATCATTTGAATCAAAATAAGAAAACAAGAAGAAAAATACTTTCCAATAAAAGAAACCATCATTCGTTTTCAAAACCCATCAATGGCTTTACTAACTGCTATCTACTTACAAAAAAAAAAATCAATCAAGGGTCAAATTCGCACAGAAGAAAACTGTAAAAATGGAGGGATAAAAGAAAAAGAGACTAACAATTAGGTTGTGGAATAAAGAGCACCTCTAGGAGGAACAAGAGTGCTTAAAATTGGTGACTTTGCTCTAAAATTTGTGGAAAAGTTCATAATTTTTACAGCAAGAGTTTAGGTTTGCTTTTTCTAAGTGCAACGTGTGTTCAGTTGGTTTTACATAATCTCTGTCTGACAGTTTACAGCTTTGCCCTAGTTAGCGGAGAACCAACATGTGCTTCTCGCGTGATTTGATTGACTCCAAAAGTCAACTTCAAAAATTAAAATTAATGGTAAACTATATTATCGGTCAATTTCGTTTAAATTTTTTATTGGATTCAAAATATATAATATTTGATTATTTTTATTTTTATTGATTTCTGCTAGTTTGATGATGTGATACATTAATAAAAGGGTTTAATTTTTACTTTAACTCCTTAACTTTAAATAAAATACTAATTAGAGACCTTTTATAAACACAAAGTAGTTTAGAGACAAAGTTCAAATTTATTCTTTTCTTTAATATACTTTTCTTCTCGCCTAGCAGTACCTGTTCCATTAAGATGTTCGATAACAGTAAGTTATTGTTACATAATCTAAACACAATTCATTTACGTCATCATATTGAGAAACGACCACAATTATAATACTTGTTGGAAGCGACCAACATTGTTGCTGTTGTCAACAAGGTCAACAGTCATACCAAAGAAGGTATGAACACCAGTGGCAAAGACAACAGTCTCGATGTCACATTTTTTGCAGTTAGATCCCGAGAAGACCTCGTCACCTGGATTCTTGGTAATAGGTAGGGACTCATCAGTGAGGACAGATTGAACTATCTCGAGTCCATCCCATTTGCTATTTCTCAATACCTACAAAGTGAACCATGATCATGGAACATAGGAAAGGAGCTCTACACTAGCAATGGGCAAGCAAATAAATGTACCTTTGTTTTAGGAGCAAGACGAGCCATCAAAGCAGTCGCGACATTATCGACATTGTTTTCCTTAATGAAACTGATGGGTGAGAAGAGAGGTATATTAAAAAAAAAGGGCAGTTTAAACTTTGTCCCCAAATTACTTTCGGTTTATAAAAAGTCTCTAATTAGTATTTTATCTAAAATTCAGGAGTTAAAATAAAAACTAAGGGGCTGTTTGTTTGTCTCTTAATGGAACCATTCAGCGCTGAATGTTGAACCGTTTAGCATTCAGCGCGTTTGTTTCGCACCTCTAAATGATTCAGTGCTGACTGATTCAGCAAAATATTGCTGAATGATTCAACATAACATTACTGAATGATTCAGCACATAAGTACATTCTGAATGATTCAGAGCCAATCAAACAACATGTCACATTCAGAGCTAATTCATATAGAGCCTCTGAATCATTCATCGCTTAATCATTATGAAGTAAACAAACATCCCCTAAACCTTTTTACTATAGTATTACGTCATCAAACTAACGAAAATCAATGTCTCAATGATCACATGCTAATTAAATGAAAACGAATATGACCAAATATTATGTTTTTTTAATTCAGTGAGGAAAAGTTTACAAAACTTAAACAAAAGTGATCAATCATATAGTTTACCCTAAAATTAAATATAGTTTGAAACATATTTAAGCATTTAAAAGTGATAATGGAGGTTTCTTTAAAAAGTTTCTATTTTCTCATTTTAGATTAAAAATATTCTCTTGATACCAATAAAAAGGTAACTGTTGATATTCTTTTAATGAAAGTTTTTGAATTTTATTATTTAGCTGCAAATTCTGTTTACATGGGTTTTTTATTTTTATTTTTTAAAAAGGCATTAAGTCTAGGCCATATCACTTTCAGTTTAGCATTCACGTTTTCAGTTGTCACAACTTTTTGGTGATCAAACTGAGTGGGATTCATTTAGGGGTACTTAGATTATAAGGCATGAGATAATCTATAAAGTAGCAAAGGTTCAGATCTTATTAATTGTGTTTACATTCCACTGCTTTTCTAAAGGGGAAGTTGATGGTTCTTATATATTATTGGATATCCTAGCCAACCTCTTTTTTTTCATTTTACACAGATATATGCTAATCTGTTCTCTCAAGTAATCGTGGATGTGGGCAGTGTCGGGGCTCTTTGTATTTGTTGGCATCCAAAAGGTACATCCGGCTCTTTCCTACAAAACTTGCATTTGATTGAGAAAGTTGCAAGTAAACAAATTTCATGAAATTGTTAGATGAATAATTGCAAATAAACAAATTTCATGAAATTGTTAGATGAATAATTGGTAAATTTGTTTGCATGTGCCACGCATGATAAACACACAAATACTGTACTGTGCTTAGGTGTAAAATTATGTGTCAATGGTCATTGCTCCCGTGCACATAAATAGAATGCCCCTCCTAAAGAAAAGAAATACCGAGCCGTGGATGATATCAGAGAGAGCATATTAGAACTCAAGTCAAAAGAAAGTCGACGAAGTGAATGAAGACAGATTCATATAAATGCTACTCTTTCTGAAGAACAAATAGATCATCTGAACAAGTCTTGTAATTTTGCCACATGAATTTTCATTAAGCAGGGTTTAAAGCAATATTTCTTGCTTGATACTATTGGTGGAGCTTGAGAATGAAAAGCACCTGCAAATATCATTACATTTCATGGGAAAATATAACAACAGTTAATATTTTACATAAGATTTTTCATTAGACATAATCTTCTACTGCAGTGCCAACTATTTCTACTTTGCTTTAACTTACAGATAGAATTAACCCTAATCAACACCAATTCAGTTGTCTTTCAGCCAAATAAACAGAGCCTAACCTATAAACATGGCAGTTTTTGGAAGCTGTAGAAAACCAACATATATAATTATAAATGTACAAAATACCAAACCCTTGGATGAATTCCCAAAGCAGTTCCATCGACAAGCCAACTGGATAGCCTAACATTTTGGCAACTAGAAAACTCGAAACAGCAGAAAACGCAAGTCAGAAAATGGTAGAACATGTTCTTCTAAGCTGATACTTTGGTTCAGATGTTTCACACTGAAATTTTATATCAAATTCCTGCGAGCATGTTAAAAGATTGGGTTAGCTGTTTCAATATTCAGTATGTCGAGAGGGAAACCCCAGTGCCTTACTGGGGTCATAAAGCTTTGAGTGATACTAGCCAAATCATTATTCACTAACAGAATCTATGAGAAAAAAAAGTAAGAATAAACAAGAAATGCACAATTATAGCCTCTGAAAAACAAGTTTTGGGTGTAGATGTCAAACCGGAGAAATATGGGCAAAGATTCTACCTTCTCTCTCTTGAGCTTTATATTATCCTCTTCCAATCGTGAAACCTTGTTAACCAGCTCATTATGGTAAGCCTGTGCAAAATCAGAAGACCATGGCAGCATAAAATTAAAGGAACAAATAGCTGAGAACTATCAATTAACCAAATACATGTTAAACCCTTGCCTGCTTTCTGGCACGTGATCGGGCAGCAGATTCCCTATTCTTGATTTTTCTCCTTAACCTCCTCTCAATGCTTTTCTCAAATGTGTCTTCAGCATCTCTTTTCCACCCTGTCATTGGTGTGTCCGACAATGTGCCGATCGATGGGGTAGGTGACAATCTGAACTGCAGTGGTAAACTCTGTTGTGTATGCAATTCCATGGTAGGAGCCAATGATGTATCAGCAACAAAAAGTCCTGCTTGTACCAGAAAATCCTCCAACGTGGTTTCGCCAAGCGTTGGTTCTCTTTCACGATCCTTCGTCTCCTCACCATACCTCCTCTTCTGACCTTGTTGTATCTCACTCCAAACTTGATTAACCGTCTTCCCACTCAGAGCTCTAGCCAAGGTTAGGCTAGCCTGACGTTGGAGGGAAGACAATGATGATATACTTCCGTTATCCATCCCCATTGATGGATTCGATTCATTACTCCATACATTATTAAGAAGCTCGTCAAGGTTCATATTACCTAGGGGCTTCCCCATGTTCCCTAGCTGGTTTTCAACTTCATTAAGAGTGAGACTATACCATGAATTCTGCCTCATCAATGGAGATGGCTGTGAAAGAGGCTGTTGGCCATTGCTTTGGGATCCAGTTGTTTGAATCCCCATTCGGAACAATTTTAACTCTCAACCCTATCAATAGAAGTTGTCAAACCCATAACATAATCACCCCAGAAAATTACTACCCATACTAATCATTCCAAGAACTATCAAAAGTGATTCTCTTTTCCCCCTTTCAGCAGTTAAATTCGATGTAATTTATTTGATTTCCTAGTTACAACCAAAATCCATAGAAACCCTAAAATAGAATAATTCCCAACATTAAAAAAAACATATCAACTAAGCTAGCATAATCAAAAGTTTCTCATTTTTCTTCATTTCCCTTCATTTACCAAACAGAAAAAATCATCATTCGCTTTTTTCTTATTTTATTAGGCTTTACCCGTTCAACCTTGTTCCTTTCCCACCAAATTTAACACCCGGAATCGTGCTTACCCAAAAGCTTTTTAAGAACCCATTAATCAATAGCAAAAGAAAATTAAGATGATAAATTGAAATTAATGGTTGAAGCAACCAATTTGAGTGTTAAATTTCGAAACTTTATAGTGTGATTAATATTAAAACAAATAAATACCAAAGAAATCTTATGTATTACCTGGAAATTCTGGTCCTGGATCGAGACAGAAAGAGGGGGGGGAGGGAAATCTGCTAAGCTGTTGTTACATGAAAACTCCACGTATTATTAAAATATTAAGTGCGATTGGTTCCTCTTGATTTCAGTTTTCTGGGAATCGGGGATTATTTTTGGAGTTTTTTTTTTCAGTTTCAGGGTCGAGTGTGAAAAATCCGGGTCTGAATTGTTTGTTTAGCACCAATTAATAGCTGCCGTGTGCGCTTGTGACGTGTTACCTTTTTGGGCTTTACTATCTATCATCCAATCATCTCGACTTGGTTGGCCTGCCTCCTCTGACGTCGTTTCACAAATTGATGAACTTTGAATATTCTTCCCAAAATATATTCAAATTCTAAATCCATCTCAACCTTTTAATCAGATTATTATTAATTTATATTTTAAATTTAATATCATATATATTTAAATATACAAGTCATGATTTCCTATAAAATTATCTGTTTG